AAAATTTTGGATCGTTACAATTGATGAGGTAGTAAATTATTTTTCGTCCATAAATTATCGGTAATAATTTTTTTTTTTTAAATGTTAGGTATGTTAATGGTATTTTTCAAACATGGTACTATGGGTAATAATATTTTTTAAATTTTTAAAAAAAGTTAAAAGATATTAATAAAACTTTTTTGAAATCAAAAGAGTATTTTTAAGACGTCCTAAAGGTTCAAATGTATTTTTGCAAAAAAAAAAAAAAAGAATCTTAATCATTTGATTATCGAGGAAAAAAAAATTAAAAAGGCAGCGTATTAAAAACAATTATTTTGATTAAATATCGTTAATTTAGAGTGTTTCGATAAAAAAAAATCATAATATCGAGTCAATGATATCTATGACGTAAACATCATTAACACTCTAATCAACTTAGTAAAATCTTAAGGTTTTCGATAATAATTTATTGAGTGATGTCAATTTACTAGTACTTCTACTTAACTATACGTTTGAAATGTGTTGGATGATGGAAGTCCCACATCGGCTAATTTAGGGAATGATCATGGGTTTATAAGTGAGGAATACCAACTTCATTGGTACGAGGCCTTTTGGGGAAGCCCAAAGCAAAACCATGAGCGCTTATGCTCAAAGTGAACAATATCATACCATTGTGGAGAGTCGTGTGCAAAGAACTCCTGCACCTTATTTCATGAATGGGCAATCTGAGAGGCCTCGAAAACGATTCGCTTATGAATCTCCTATTGAAGAGTTAGACTTCTCGCTCAGTGGTCCCCATGGAGAAGCGTCTCGTAAAGATGGAGATTGAGGCAATGATACAAGCTGCAGTAGAGAAGACCCATACGGAAGGAAACAAGAATTGAATGATTTTAGCCGAATCTGGCATCGGAAGTTACCCCACCTTTTTACGTGAGCTTCCAAGAAGGATTAGGATCCCCGCATATATAACGAGTATAATTATATTACAAAAAATCACTACTTTCCAACTACAAAAAAAAACTTACGACCCATCATATCATGTAATGGGTAAATCAATAATTCATCTATTTTAGAAACATTAGGTAAGTGATTTAAAAGTTTTTGAAAAGCATCTCAATTTTGGTATGAAATAGTTACGATTGCCACTGAAAGTAATGTTCGTGTCAATAATTTTATGGACTTAATGAGGAACGTCATTTTCTATTCTAAAATTTCAATTTCATCCATTTTTTTTTCTTAAATAATTTTATTATAATTAATAAAAAAAACTTTCCTTAATAAATTCCATAATAACCTAAATTTTAAAAATTTAAAAATTTAAAAATTTAAATTTATTTTAATAATTTAACTTAAAAGAAATAAAATAAGTAACACAATTAATTATTATTTATAATTAAGTAAAATAATAAAATTGTAAAAAAATATTATTAATAACATTTTTAATTTTTAATGTAATAGGTACCAAAAACTTTAGGGTCCCACTATCTAGCGCTGACATGGCAAGTTCTCAGTGGCTTCTACTAAGATGACATGGCTCACTATTAACGACCCGGATCCGTCTCCCCCAACTCAAATGACTAACGATCTCTGGATCTTACCCGAATTCTCTTTTCGGAGGCTGCGATGAGCTGCTTCAACGCTGCCCCCACCGCCGCCGCCGCCGCTGCTGCTGCTGCTAGCCCTCTATTGATGAATGGCTTTTCTATCTCATATGGGCCGCTCTAAAATGCCTTCTTTCTCCTCTCAACCCCTCAGAAAAACTGGTTTGGTTCGCCCCAAATCCAAGCAACGCCCAGATTCCACTCGCCCATGTGTCGTTCAGTCCCTTCTCAGCCTCTCTTCTCGAGGGAACCTCTCGGAGGCCCTTACTTACCTCGACCAATTGGCCCAAAGAGGCATACGCTTGCCCTCTAGCGCTTTCGTCCACCTCTTGCGACTCTGTGCCAAAGCCAAGTCTCTCAAAGGTGGTAAATGTATTCATCTGCATTTGAAACATACGGGGTTTAAACGCCCCACGACTATTGTAGCCAACCATTTGATTGGTATGTACTTCCAATGTGGCCATGAGATTGATGCACGTAAGGTGTTTGATAAAATGTCTGTGAGGAATTTGTACTCTTGGAATCATATGCTTGCTGGGTATGCTAAGTTGGGGAATGTGCATCAAGCTAGGAAGTTGTTTGATAGAATGACGGAGAAGGATGTTGTTTCTTGGAATACCATGACTCTTGCTTATGCTAAGAGAGGGTGTTTCAATGAAGTTGTTGGGTTATACAGAGACTTCAGGAGATTGGAGATGGGTCTCAATGAGTTTAGTTTTGCTGGTGTTTTGATTCTTTGTGTAAAGTTGAGGGAATTGCAGCTCACGAAGCAGGTTCATGGGCAGGTATTGGTTGTTGGATTTTTGTCTAATGTAGTGCTTTCTAGTTCAATAGTTGATGCATATGCAAAATGTGGAGAGATGGGATGTGCGCGGAGATTGTTTGATGAAATGCTTGTGAAAGATATCCTCGCGTGGACTACTATGGTATCTGGATATGCTAAATGGGGTGATATAAATTTCGCTAGCGAATTGTTTCACCAAATGCCTGAAAAGAATCCTGTCTCCTGGACAGCTTTAATATCAGGCTATGCAAGGAACGGTTTGGGGCACGACGCACTCGATTACTTCACAAAAATGATGATGTTTCGAATTAATCCCGACCAATATACATTTAGTAGTTGTCTCTGCGCATGTGCCGGTATTGCTGCACTGAAGCATGGTAAACAAGTACATGCCTATTTGATAAGAACGAACTTCAAATGCAACACAATAGTCGTCAGCTCTCTCATTGACATGTATTCAAAGTGTGGCATGTTAGAAGCAGGCTACCGTGTTTTTCACCTTATGGGAAATAAGCAGGATGTTGTATTGTGGAATACAATGATATCTTCCCTAGCTCAACATGGTCATGGGGAGAAAGCAATGCAGATGTTCAATGACATGGTTAAATCAGGGTTGAAGCCTGATAGGATCACGTTCATCGTGATCCTTAGCGCGTGTAGTCATTCAGGGCTCGCGCGAGAGGGACATCGGATTTTCAAGGCCATGACGTATGATCACAGCGTTCTCCCTGATCAAGAACACTATGCATGGTTAATTGATCTCTTGGGTCGAGCGGGATGTTTTAACGAGTTGGTAAACGAGCTAGAGAAGATGTCGTGTAAGCCGGATGATCGAGTATGGAATGCGTTACTTGGTGTGTGTAGAATGCATGGCAGTATGGTGCTAGGAAGAAAAGTGGGTGAGCATGTAATGGAGCTGGATCATCAATCTTGTGCAGCTCGTGGATCTCTTGCAAGTTTGTATGCTTCTCTAGGGAAATGGGAGTTAGTAGAAAAGGTCAGGGAAGAACTGGAAGATAGATTTGTGAAGGAGGAGCGTGCAATTAGTTGGAGTGACATTGAAAATAAGGTACATTCTTTCATTGCAGATCACATTCATTGAAGGAAGATAGGCACATCCCATACAGAAGAAGAATGTTGAATCATTGAAAAGAGGGTGTTAAGGTACATTATTATTGTTATTTTTGTTGGGATATTTCACACAAGTGATGTTACGTATATTATGATAAAATGAGGACCAGAATTTTTGTGAGTCCACATTTTCCAAAGTCGAACCTTTGGGGTCTTACTCCATATAATTTGTTTGTTATCCCACTATTAATCGATAATTATCTTCCTTTTTGAGAGTATAGTTTGAGTTATAAAATTTGGCCTTTAGCCTATATTTCCATGATTGAAGCAAGAGGAAAAAGTCGCTCCATTTAAACAAAGAAGTAGAGGGAACGAAGGGATTTTTCTATGTTAACTAAACAGAATCCTTGTGGGTGTGTATGTATATGTATATATATATATGTGTGTGGGAGTTGAAAATAAGTGTAAATTTAGAAAATTTCAATGAGGTCCACTTTTCAAATTGCTATTGAATCCCTGGGCAAGCAAGAGACAACCTGGCTAATGGGAATGAGAATTCTCATAGTTAACAGAAATCTCTCTATTACCTCTACTTCCGGTGTGTATTATATATATATATATATATAAAAGCTAAGATACAAAACTAACCTATTACATATTTTTTTAGAAAATAAATAAAAATAAATTTCGTTACTATATAGTAATATATATGTTTGAATTTTTATAAATGATGTCGGTAGGATTATATTTTTGTTTATTGGATTTATTAGAATGTTTTATATTTTTAATAAAAAAAATAGAAAATTTATTCTATATAAATATATATATTTAAAAAAAATATAAAAATAGAAAAAGTTTATAGGTAAAAATTAAAGGGAACTTTGGGGAAATAACAGGATTAAAGAAAAAAAAAGGATTGCATAGAAAATAAAAACAAATATTTTATATGACAAGGTTTATATTGAATATAAAATATTTTTCTATTTCAAATATCACTAATCCGTGGATTAAATATGTTTTAACAATAACTAATTTAAAATTAAATACTATTAAGATTACTAATTTTATTTTAGGAAGATTGTAGTTCAAATTCAATTTCTTTTCCAAAAAAAAAAACGTTTAAAACTGAATTTTTCCCGTCAATTTTGAATTTGAATTTTGACTAAATTTAGAATACATTATTGTTATTATTATTATTATTATTATTATTTTGTAATTTGAGGTTTTAACTTTATTGACTAAACAAGTAGAATAATAATAATAATAATTAAGTGATAATGTAAGCGGATTATTAATTAATTAATTATGGTTTAATTTCAATAATTTTGAATTCATAAGCTTTCATAGTTATTGATCGTCCGCATTGTAAAGCATCCAAACAGATTCAGAGATCAGAATTCGGAGATCCCAAATCTCCACGCTCCACGAAGGAAGAACACTCTCTCAAGTTTCATCCAAGGAAAACCTTAAGGTACTCTCTCTCTCTCTCTGCATTAATGTTGAACTCCGAAGCGTTAAATCCTCATTTCTTTGTCTAAATAGCATCAAAGTGTAATTAAAGGAAGCAGACATTCGTCGGATGAAGCGAACGCTGTTTAATTTAATTTCGAAATTTGCGACAAAGAAGGAAACAGTATTCTAATGGTTGACCATTCCTCAATGTTGAGGCAACGATGCGGAATTTTGCCTCAAAACTACGTCATTTCATTGCACTTCACCCTGAATCTGCTTCTTCCATTTATTATCATTTTGTTATTTCTTTGGAAAACTGAATCTGCTTTTTCCCTCTCTATCTGCAAAATTCTCTGGTTGTTGTTTCACATATAATTGCTTCGGACTGATTTTGAAACTCTGGTTCTTTCTTTCATTTTGATTCCTTGTTATTGGATACATGTCTTTGATTTACATTCTCGCCATTGCTATATACACATACATTTTTCCTTTAGTTTGAAATGGATCTGGTTTTGGGTAATTGAGTGGAGATTTCTTCAATCGTTGGGTTTTCAGTGAGATCTGCTGCTTTGTTTGCTCTCTTTTCCTTTTCTCTGGGTGGGAATTTGGGGCTCTGATCTGTATGAAACCGGAAATTACTCTTTCTTAATATGAATTATTGTTTTTGTTTTGGTTTTTGGAATTTGGTCGTGATGAAGGTTTGCCCCTCCTTTTTCTGATGCAGGGAGGCATCAATTTCGAGTTGTCGATCAATCAGTGGTTTGAATTGATGTGCAATGCGGTGGCGTATCGGAGCTCTTCTGCGTGATAGAAGAACTGTTGAACTGCCTATTAGTGGAAGGAATCACTTGTATAGAGTTTCTCTGTCTTTGGCTTTTATTCTGTGGGGATTTACCTTCCTCTTTAGCTTATTGTTCAGCCGTGGGGATGGCTGCCAAGGTATGCTTTGATCATATCATTTTGATTTCTTAGTGAATATTTATTTGAATTTAGAAGTGTAATCAAACTGATTGCTCCATTTCATTACAACATTCTCTTGTGATCTCAGACCGAGCTGTTTTCAATTGGTTTTTATCTGTTCGCTGCTTCTGTGTTTCCTATTCTATCAATCCTTCTTTTATTTTTCAATTTGTTGGTTTTATAAGATTCAAATTTGTTTCCCTTGAAATGCAACTAACATTCTGGTGGCTGTGAATATTCTTAACGCTGACAGTTTCAAGATTTTAATTGATTTATATTTCAACTTTACATATGATGTTCTATACTCTTACATTAGAGAAAAGGAAACAACAAAAATTGTGTTTTCATGCTTGAACGCTTCATTAAAATTGCTATCAGGGTAAAATCAGAGGGAAATACCATCATTTGATTGATTTTTATTGTAGTTATTTATCACACAAAACAATAAAAACATAATTGGTCAAGTGCTGTGCAATCCTTCTCTAACGAAGTTCGTGCATGATGAAATCAAGCTCATTATGCGTGGAAATAATAGAGTAAGCGTAGTAATGATTTATTTAATAAGCTGTACCACTTCCTTGAGTTGAAAGGATATAATGGAGTACTCTGTTCCCTGAAATTATATTTATATGAACGCTTCTTAGTGGGCACTCCAATGGAGTACCCGGAGTAGGCTTCCTTTGCTTAAGAGTTTGTTTTATTTTGTTTTATCTCAAGTTTTAAACTGTTGAATTGGTCTGGCTTTGTTATTAATCACCAAAATGGCTAAAATTAAATATTAGAAAAGGATTTTCTACGTTAATAGAATGAATTAATTTGTCTTACACCATCTTTGTTTTCTACACCAATTCATTGACTTAATACCAGACAAGATAATATTACTGACTATCTATGCCCTTCTTTTCTTTGGGTTTCAGAAGGATCTGTTGTACTACCTGCTGGTGTATCTACATCAAATGAATCTAAATTGGAAAATAACGAGGACTCTGATCTTTTACATGTTCCTCCAAAGGGGGAAAACGATTGTCCCAGCCATCTAAAGGATTCGTGCTCAATTGATGCTACAAGCCATGGTTCTAACAATGAAGAACTTTCACGTGAAGAAAGTAGTAGTCATATACGAACTGCTACAGAGTTTCCTGAAGCTGGGAGCTCTAGCACTGGAGTGAAATCGGAAAGCAAACCTCTGAAGGAAGGTATCTCGTCCGATACCGTTCTGTTGGGCCTTGAGGAATTCAAAAGCAGAGCCTTCATATCCAGAAGTAAGTCTGAAACTGGGCAGACTGGGAATAGTATCCATAGAGTAGAGCCTGGTGGTGCAAAGTACAATTACGCTTCAGCTTCAAAGGGAGCAAAGGTATTGGCTTTCAACAAGGAAGCAAAGGGAGCTTCTAATATTTTAGGGAGGGACAAAGATAAATACCTCAGAAACCCATGTTCTGCTGAAGAGAAATTTGTTCTCATAGAACTGTCAGAAGAAACCTTAGTAGTTACAATTGAAATTGCTAATTTCGAGCTCCATTCCTCTAACTTAAAAGAATTTGAGCTACATGGAAGTTTGGTTTATCCAACGGATGTTTGGTTCAAGCTTGGGAATTTCACTGCTCCAAATGCAAAGCAGGCACACAAGTTCGTTCTCAAGGACCCAAAATGGGTGAGATATTTAAAGTTGAACCTTCTTACTCATTATGGTTCAGAATTCTATTGCACGCTCAGCAGGGTTGAAGTTTATGGAATGGATGCAGTTGAGATGATGCTGGAGGATTTAATAGCTCAACATAAACCTTCTGTTATATCAGATGAAGCTACTAATGATAAGAGAGCAATTCCCTCCCAGTCCGGATCCAATGATGAAAGACAACATGGTAGAGAGTTGCAATCTCTAGCCACTGATGAAAGTGATGATGATGTGATTTTAGAACCTTCACATAGTAATATAATCGATCCAGTCGAAGAACAGCACCATCAACAACCTGGCAGAATGCCTGGTGACACTGTTCTCAAAATTCTGACTCAGAAAGTTCGTTCATTAGACCTAAGTTTATCTGTTTTGGAGCGGTATCTGGAGGAATTGACTTCCAAATATGGCAATATACTCGAAGGATTAGACGAAGATATAGGAAATAATCATCTACTCATTGTGAAGACCCGAGAGGATATAAGAAATATTCTTAAAATCCAGGACAGCGCAGTATGTCATACACTTGTTCTTTCTGTTCATCTCCTATCTATAACAATGGCTATTAACATTGGCTTGTTGTGAATGCAGGATAAAGATGTTCGTGATCTCATTTCTTGGAAGTCCATCGCTTCCATGCAGTTGGATGGTCTGCAAAGGCATAACGCTGTTCTCAGGTTTTGACTTTTCTCCACCCACACCCACACGCACTAGCACTAGCAAAAGGGAAAAGAAAAGGAAAAAGAAAAAAAAGGAAGAGAAATGGAGTGAGAAGCTTTGTTTTTCTCCTTAAATCCTATTTCTAGTATAAATCCTACTTGTTCATTCATCTGACCAACACTTATTTATTTATCAAAAACTTCGTTTGGAGAAGAAAGGGATAAAGATTAAAGCTTAGATAGCAATGTTGTTGTGTAGAAGTAACTTCAAAAAAAAAAAAAAAAAGAAGGGTGAAAAGTGGTGAAAAAGGCTAAAAAGCTTCCGTTTTGGTATTATGATGCAGATCTGAGATTGAAAGGGTTCAGAAGAATCAGAGTTGTCTGGAAAACAAAGGAATAGTTGTTTTTGTTGCGTGCCTCATATTTACATCATTTGCTACAGTTAGGCTATGTTTACAGATTGTTCTTAGTGTATATGAGAGAACAAATAATTGCAGGAAATTTTGTTGCGTAAGCCCTTCCTGGTATCTATTACTCTTCAGCTGCTGTATTATTGTTTTCATAGAGTCGCTTTAATAATCATCAATGACGATCCTCATCCCAGATATATATTTAGTTTAAATAAATGAGGTGTTGTGTTCATCATTCAGGCTTTGGGATTCACTCGATGAGGGACATCACAAAACACTCTCTCCTTTGCCACTCCCCCATCATTCAAAATAAAGATTCCATTTTTGAGTTTCTGATGTTTCATTCAAAATAAACTTTCTTTCTGTTTACTTTTTTTTTTCTCCCCAAATGTTTTGTCCATTTCTCTACCTCTTTTCCTTCTAAAATTTATCCCTCTTAAATATTCCCTCTTCAAAATTCTCCTCTCTAAAGCCCATAAACTCGCTGACGAAGGTTGAATACTCTACTTCAATTTGTTGTAAATTTCTTTCGATCATAAACAAATTATTTATTCAATGTTTACTTAGTTGTAATTACGAACCATTTGTGAATGATAAATTTGCTTGTAATAATTATATCAATCGGCACAATTTAACTTACAATGCATAAGAGTTCCGACATGGTAGAATTGGACTTACGAGTGTATAAGAGTGCATGCATAAAATGTATAGTGAAGTGACCTATATAAATAGTGTATGAAAATTGATTAATTAATTTTGTATTACTGGATTAATATTGTATCATTATAGCTTATAATTGATAAGTTAATTAATTTTGTATCATTACAGATTATAAAAGGATAAAATATATTTAGTTTGAATTTTTTAAACTAATATTAAACATATTAAATGTAACTAGAGAAATATATAATTAGCTTAGGGTTCAAATTAGTATTTAATATATATTTTAAATGAATATTTAATATATTAAACATAAAAAGAGAAAAATATATTTATTGTATTTGATAATTAAATATTAAAATAGTTAATGTATAGATGCATTAAATAGAAAATATATTAACGATTGACCGACTTTCATTTGCATTCTTATACAGTTCAAGCAAAACAAGACACTTAAACAGAAAACTAACAATGAAGAGAAGCAAAAACAGATCACCATTCAATCAAATGACAATCCAAAACTCTCCGCTAGAAATAACTGAATATTATACATAACCCATCAGAGATGGATGATGGTATGATATAATAGCACATACAAGATCAGAACTAATACATGCAAATACATTTTTCTTGTCCAAAAAAGAATGGGCCAATGGTAGAACAAAACCTTAAAAAGGGGAGGAAAAAACAAAAGGGATATCAAGAATACCTCGAATCTAGTGTTATATTGATGAAGAAAGCAGTATAACCTGGAACTGAGAAATGTTGTATATACACAAACCTCTTTCTCCACTTATAAGTTTGTAGTAGAAATATGACCTTGAAGAGATCACCTAAATGAACCACGAAGTGGACCTTAATATCAACCCAATGTTGCAGAGACTAAATCATCAAGTGATATCGCCATGCTAGAAGTATCTGGAACCAGAAGACTGCGGAGGTGTTGGTGGCAGCCGGTTTGGAGTGCGACGGCTGCTAGAGTTCGAACCCGAGTTTATGTCACCATTCTGTGCGGGATCGCTAGATCTACTGTAACCATTGGAAGAAGATCTTCTGTAGTCGGCCCGGCCATTAGAAGCAGCATCAAACGCAGATCTCCAGTCATCTCCTCCAGGTGGTCCGCTAGTTTTGGGACTGCTTTCTGCAAGGGTTTAAAATATTACAAAACGTCAAGAAAATGGAGAAATGAATTTCTTTCGTAACACTGAGAAGTGGCAGAATGGTAAGACCCCGTAAGATGCCACTTTCCAACATGGAATTTTCTACCTATTGCTTCGCTGGATAAAATCCAAGCAATGTGACAGACCATCAAACAACCAACTTTAATATCATCGAATGACCAAGGAAATGGGAACGCCAAATTAATTTATTCAGTTATTTGCTAACAAATGAATGGATGTGTACTCATTCTTACTCATTTGGTTGGGCTCAGGCGTCCAGCCAATACATAAAATTACTTAGAGCAAGTGGTTCTTGTAGCATTCAACTCGCATAATTTTTGGCAGAGAGATGTTTGGGTGAATGAATGCAGGAAGAAAGTTTCTTAGTTAAACGTTGACCTGTAAAGAACTGTCTGGTTGAATGCCACGGTTGAATTTTTGGCAAGTATTGTGTGGATTGAATGCTAGAAGAAATTTTCTTTGTTAAACTTCAACGAGAAGAGTGGCCCTATGAATGACTCTTCAGGTACCAGAATTGCGTGGGTTGACTACTCTGTTGTTAAATTGACTAGAAGATCACCCTATGATTTTTCCATGAAGTACAACATTGAACAAAAAGTTGTGGGCTGAATGCTAGAAGAAACTTCATTTCTTAGAGCTTGACTAGAATGAATCAACAACACCCTATGATTCTTTCAGTTCAAAATTTTTTTGTAGAATGAATCCTCTGGAAGAAACAAAATAATGACAAGTTGCCTAATCAGGAGAAACAAAATAATGTTGTTTCTTTACCAGTTCTACATAAATCAAGACAGATCAACATCACCGCTAACAACATAACCTAGTCCAACGGTGGGCAGCAGAACATGCATACAAATAGTAAAAGCAGGAACTAATGACTAAGATTACCTGGACTACCATCGGACCAACTAGCAGCAGATGCTTGATTATCATGAATGCTGAGCTGGCGTGTCAGTTTGGAAAGGAGAGAGGATTGTTTTTGATAACGTTCTCGCCTCCGTTTTACATTATGATCCTCCTGAAGAAGCTCCTCAATCTTTGCAGAGCTTTGGGCACTGTTCAGCATGAGCATATAATAAGTTGGATTTCTACCAAAGTAACTTTTTTTCAAACCTTATTGATAAAGATCTTTCAGTCAACGGTCAACACATTATAATGAAAATATTTCTAAAAAGACAATACCAACAAAGCAAGTCCATACAACATGAAAGCTAAACTCTACCTTATCGAGCTATATAATTGATTTAGCATGTCTTCCTTCGCCTTCTCAACTTGACAAAGTACAACAGCCTGCATAATGAACAACTCACTGATGAATATTCAAATCAACAAGTCACTAATGAAATAAACTTGTTGGAGAGAATGATATAAACTAGATGGGATAATAATTAGAAACGCAATCTTCAACCTAGCCAAACAATTCAAAACTTACCTTGGGAACATTTGCAGCCAAACTATTCAACACTGCTTCAACATAACCACGAACCTCTTGAGACATCCACCGCAGCTCTTCTTCAGGATCAGCAGGTTTTCGAGCCATAGTATCCTAATAAAAGTGGATAAATTCTTTAATGTTAATTGCAAACCACAATAAAAAAAACAAGTAAAAGAAATTTGAAGTGCATGAGAAGTGGTTAGTTTAGACATATTCTCACAAAGAAATTAGCTACGATAAAATTTTAAAAACAAAAAAACTGTAAAATAAAGCTGCAAGAAAAGAGAGCATAGATGTATCCTATGCATATTCCAACCAGTAAACACAAATCCCCAAGAATGTAGACCAATTATCTAAATGTGAACGTATGCCAAAATTAGAGGAAAGCTAGACAATAATAGGGGGTTCAATGACATACTAGAGAACCATCAGATAGACTCTGCCGCATAGTAAGACCACCTTCGGAGGATACGCCTCTCATCTGTCCTCCTTTGGACGGTTGAATGACATTGCGTATCTTGTTTATCCATTCCACCTTGTCCGCAGCACTCTCCGCCTTCAAGACAACAGCACTATGAACTGAAGAACATGGCACAATTGAGTTAGCAAACAGGTTTTCAACATGGAGTTATCAAATTTGGAACATTTATAAACTAATACTACGACATTTAAAAGATCAAAAACCTTATGTAACCTTACCTTTTAAAACGGTTTTATATGGAACCTTGCTGGTAATCTTAAACACAAGACTTGATCCTTTTCCAGAATCGGGCCCATTAGCCTTTTTATCCTTTGAACTCTTTGGAGGTGGAGACTCTTCCTCATCTGTAGCTTCTTCAATATTACAATCCTGTAAATATATTCAGAAGTCAATGTGGCCATTCAGATAACCAACAGGAATATATGACAGAATCATTGTTAAATTTCAAGACGATTCCAGTACATCTTCCAAGAACATAAACAAAACTCACAATATATGGCCATTCCCAAATTGCCATCTATAGTGATGTTTTATTGTCTTAAATGATTGTTCTTGAGAATATACGGAAAAAAACTTGAAGAAAAAGAAAAACCAATAATTATATGTGATTTTTTGTTTTCCTTTTTGTTAGAAACTGCGCTTTCATGAAAAAGCATCAGCAAAAAGAGTTGGAACGTAACTACAGAGACAGATGAAGCTCATAATTACAAAAAGACGTTGTGGGGAGTTGTCCCCATACTGAGATCAGGAAAAACATGATGCTCTACCTCTAAAGTAATGACACCACGAAAGTGTCTCTCTTCTTGCTTCTTGGTGTATCCAAGCTGCACAATGAGGATAGAATAGAAGTAAATAAAGGTATCGACACATGTTGCCTAATACAAATAAAAAATATAGGTAAATAGAGACAAATGAAACCAGAATGTACAAACATCTACCCAGGTCAACGCATGAAGATGGCATGGCTGAAATGCTTAAGTGAACTTATTTACCCAACCTTCAGATGTAATATTAACATACACGTCTTATATGCTCAAAGAACAGTGAAGCTACTATGAGATACTCGGCAGTTATGTAATGGGTATATGATCACCAAGCATGAATTAATAATCACCAGAAATATGCCTATAACCTACTCAGATTTTTCCTTCTCAATATAGGAAACTAATACTGAGGGATGATAGGCTGAAACGCACGTGAAAAGACCAAATGGTATACCATCTATCTGACTAAGTACTGAGGGATCAGGAACCACCCATTTCTATTGACCATTAGAGTAGAATTCCACAAAATTTTACATACCTTTCCAGTCTTCGCATTCAAAACAAACCATCGCCTGCTCCATCCATTAGTTTTTGCACTTTTCTTTAACAAGAAACCTACAAAATGAACAAAATTTCAAAAATAAACCTGTAAGTTTAACAGTCTTCTTAAAGTTTACATCAAAACAAATTGCTTTACTTGTAACCATTGAACTCAAACTAAGATGTAAGCCATCATACAGACTTCCAACTTTATAACAGTAGTCAGCTTTAAAATTGCAGAGATAGATACAGACAGTTTGACATGAGTACAATGCAGCATGGATGAGATGACAAATAATCATTGATATTGAAAAACATAAAACGTACAAATACAAACAGCTTAATGCTTCGTGGTGGAGTCATAACTTTCAATATCAAATTCTTTCGTAACTTCCCTTTCTCTCTGATTGTTAATGATTGGAAGGCCTTTTGCAAGTAGCTCTTTGGGTGGGGGTTCTCTCTTCCCCAGCCCTTAGGATGACTTTCCTTTCCCTTCTTTGAATTTAGTCTGATGGTTTCTTCAAAAAATTATAATAAAATGTATAGTAGAGTGACATTATATTAAATGTTCAGTCTTTCTACATGTTCAAAATGACGCAGCATTAAACGGACTTCCAAACCAATAAACATATGTAAACGGATCAATATATTATAAATAATAACAAAGGGTTAAAAACAAAATCCAAAAACCAAATGTGTCTTCAATTATATGCATAACAATTATTCCATTGGCCTAGTCCAAAGCTAATCATTGATTTAGGTTCTTTTTTTTCCTTTTTAATCCGGGTGTCCAAGCATCACTAAGTGTCAAAAAAACAAAGTTACAGAAGAGTCAAGAATATAGTTTGAGTGTCCAACTTGATCCAAAGCCCAACAACTGCCAAGCTCGTGGATGACATCCAAAATAAAACTTCCATTCACATGTAACGGACTAATTGTGTTGCATGTGCATTATTGGATGCTGTATATTCAAGAGTCTGAACACGTTTCAGCTTGGGGAACTTACCAGAATACTAACTCCAAACAAATCAGAGCCAAGTTACAAATCTCTACACAGTTCATTCAACACCAGATTTGAGAGAGAGAAAATAGCGACAGATGATTAAGGGTCTCATATTAATTTAAAAGGCCAGAAAGAGTCTTCTAAAACAAATTTTAAAATGCCTTCATAAACAGCTGAAAGCTAAAACCCAGTAATAGCATTCCCGTTTTTTATAAATAAAATAATATTGCGTGCATACCAGCTGTTATCTCTCCATCAGCACCTGCTGTCTTCAAACCCGAACCCTCCTGTACTTCCTTATCTTCTTTACTAGGTTTTTCTTTCATTGATTTCAAGCTTCCCCCAGCTTGCTGACTACTTGTTTGAGGACTACTTGCCTAGGGGGACAAAAACTATGTAAGTGAGAAAGTCAAACAAAAACGAGAGTCAGCAGCCCTGCATTAACTCAAATGACTCACCCTGTTCGACACCGCTTGTTCAGCCTCTTGCCCTTTTTTTGATGATTTAGTCTTCACTTCCTCTTCCCGGCGTTGTCTTTCCATCCTACGTTGAGAATGAGAAAGTGATATCATATACAACCAATTTTACTATTGAAATTTAAAATTTTTGGGACCAAAAATTGTATAGTATACATATGCATGGGTGGTGTGTGGGTGTGGGAGGATTTTTATTGGAATGTACAGGACATTCAAGATCTTAGAATTTCACACAGACACAATAATTAATACAGCAATAGGCTCCAAAAGGACACGCCGCAGAAAAAGTAATACACACATTAGCAATATCAAATTTCATCATGCGTGTAGGACCGCCCCCCCCCCCTCACAGCAGCCAATTTCATACCCAAAAGGCATAGCAGTAGAAGATTTTCCTAAGCTTACCTTCTTTGTACAAGACGTATAAAGTGTTGTGGTGGGACAAATGCTCGCTCCATATCAACTAACGCCACAACCATCTTTTTTGATTCATTTTTAAACCCATCCAGGGCAGCAGTTGCAATGGCCACAACCTAGAAAAATAATCGGTTTTAGAGGGTTGGAAACAGCTATTTAGAGCTCCCTTACAAGAAACATTATTTTTTAAAGAACAAGAAAACCTTTTCGAAGAACTACAGCATATAATATAAAAACTTAAGCAGGAAAAATAAAAGTTAAGATGCAAACTACAAAAGAAAACAAAATAAAGTTGTAAACTATGAAAAGCTAAAAGGATAAACGATGTAATCAAGAAAAAAGTAAAAAGCCACTCACCTCTCTTTTGAATGGTGGGTATCTTCCAAGACCTGGGGTGCCATTAGCAGCAGCAGAAACAATATCTATCAAAACTCTGTGCACCTATATTTTTGTCAAACCAGAAACATCATGATTTCATTAACAATAAGAAGAAAAAAATTAAACGATCCTTCAGCTTGTTTAAGGAGTTTGAGAAATTATGAGGCTAAGAGTAAAAATATCCCAAATTCTATACTTTTGGCCTTCTAAATGGTCTCCTCGGACTATTTATTTAACCTCTTGTAATTATTCCCTATTTTGCCTAATAATTTAGATTGAAGAGCCTCTTCAAAATCACTTCTGGTTTTGAAGTATATGAGGATGACACATCTTTTCCATTTTTCTGTGGTAACAAAATTTAAGCAAAACAAAATAAACTGATAAGCTAAGGATCAAATTCTAAAAGAGATCTCAAAGAAACAAAAAAATATTCCACGATGAATTTAGTGCTCCAAAATTTAAGAAGCTGAACATTTCATGCCCTTATGCTTATCTTTACCTCATCAACACAGAGACGTGATGGTTCTTTTGCAAGCTCCAAAACACCTTTTATTAAAGATCTCAAACCCTTCTCAGGTGATATAAGATAAGGCTGATAACCATCAGCTTCTAATACAATCTGTTACAACGAAGTCAAGAATGAATCTACAGCCTAATAAAACATAAATTACTAAAAAAAAAAAAAAAAAAAAATAGTTAAACATACCCTCTTCACATTATTAATATCGAAGTGTCTGTCTAAAGGCAATTGCTTAATTCGATTTGGAAAACTACCCTCAAAGCTAGCAACAATTTTCCAACCTGCACCCTGATATGCGAGGTAAGAAATATTAAGACTTAGAAATCAAACCCTCACTGCAATTAAATTATCAATAAACTCAGATTTTGTCCAAGGGTTAGTTTTTCCTGACTGCAGAAATGCTCAAAATAAAGTCTGACTAGATAAGTATTGAGGAGAAAAATTATTTCATTATCAATTCATTTCATCAATATTGATTTTTTTTTTTTTTTTTTTTATTTTGTGTAAGAAACAATTTCATGGATGTATGAACTTTGCAAAAGGGATGCATAGTCCATGAATATTACAAAAATGCTTTTCCAATTGGTTAATAGGGAGGGATAACTATATGAAGCAAAGAGATTTGACAATTTACACCAAGAGGTTCATCATAATCATCTTTCTAACTTATCCAAGTATTTTCCATGCATATCAAGAGAACTCCCTTGCTAATGAAGATTTCACAGTTCGTACAAATTGTTTTGTATCATCCTTCAAAAGGAAATTAGCCAGGATCATCAAACATACAAACACAAAAGAAATCAATTTTTACAATCAGGACTTGAAAGACTCTCCCAGCCCAATCGCCAGCTTGAGTTCGATTCCTGAGCTAAGCAATTATGTTTGTTTATATATATATATAAACTATTGAGACTTTATGTTCTCCTTAGGAAGAAAACTACATGCTCTACAAGTGCTAATCACCTTCAAAGTGAGTTTAAAAAACAGAAAATAGAAAAATAAGAAATACGAGAGAAAACAGAGAGGGGGGATTAACAAAAAAAATAATAATAATAAAACTTAAATTATTAGAATTTCTTTTAATATATGCACAGAAGAAACCTCTATCCTGCTTAACACAATTTTATGTAGAAAGATTACAGAAATAAATACTGTGGCAACTTTAAAAACGAAGGATACCAACTTGTCGTGCAGGAAAAGAACCATGAAAAAAGTATATAAATAAATAGAAGACCTACCTCACCAGAGCCTATGTGCTGGAGAAACTTATCTTCAAACTCACGGCAAAGTTCCAAAGCTAGAGCTCTAGTCCCCTCGACACCATTGACCATTTGCTCACCAAGCCTAACTAACTCATCCTGAACTATTTGCGACTTCCCTTGTAACCTTTAATAAAGTAAAATACAAAAATCAATAGGATGTTAATTTCCTCCCACGTATTAAAAATACATTTAATACATATTTTATCCATTTAAAATCCTGTTAGATAAATCTGCCACTCGGAAACCACAAATATGGCAGACTCCATTCTTGTCAACAGACCCTCATTCAACTCAAAAATAGAATTCAACATCGAACACCTAAGACTAGTCTTCCATGATTTTTTTACATAGGATATATTGTGAGAAATAGGTTATCCATTTGTTAATACAAAAACTTTCCCCGAGTACAATAGAAATTACTGGGGGCAAAAAAAAAAAAAGCACAGCAATTTGTAAATAAAGGTTTTCTTGTAAAATTTGGGAAAACAGTTACCCGGAGAGAAGATTAGGAAGCCGGACTTTCATTCGTTTGCGGATCTGTTGGGATAATGCATCAACTAAAGCTAGCCTACCTAGCTTACTTTGAGGGGCACCAGGTAGTATAGTTTTTAAACTTTCACTCTCTGCTCTCCATGCAGTCTCCATGGAATTCTCGGAGCCAACAGATCCAGACTGTGCAGTAACTATCGAAACCGATTGACCAATTATAGCAACCCATGGGATATCTGAGGCTCGTGCTGGCCCTTGATTTAACAGGAGAGCTTGCACTGCAGCAAGAGACTTCTGGTCTGAAGAAGCTTGGTCAATTTTGCTAATTACACCAATGGTTCTGGTACCTATGTTGAGGATAATTTTCAAATTTAATCACCTAATGCAGTTGAAAAGAAAGAATAGAAAACGCATAATTCGAAATCTAACATAAAATTGAAATTTCAGCATTGAAAATTATCCCTATAAACTTAACAAAGCAAAACATGAAAGAAGAAACAAGAATCCATGATAAATGATAGTGGTGGTGAACATAAAAGACAAAACCCAGTAATTAGAACTTATTTCCCAGGTTTACAAATAACATTACACCAAACTTAAAATAGAAATGTGACGATGACTGTGAAACAAATTACCATCTGCATCAAATTCCTTCGCAGTTCGTAGGGCTCGAGATGAAGCAATTTCAGGAGCCTGAATAGCTGGTACAATAACTAGCAAAATTGCATCATTGTGTTCAGCATATTCACTAACCTATGCAAAAACCATCAAAATATAATTACTTATACCATTAATAACAGTTTATAAACAATACCAAACTATCATTTGGTTAAGAAAAAAATACACAAACCATCTATATGGATAATGGATTCAGATATTGTCTAAAAGCATTCATCCAAAAAAGAAACGCTAATTCATAAATCTTTTAATCAAGTATATGAGCCAGTCCATGAACAACTACTTACCACAGAATCATCCATTGCCCGTTGATCAAGCCCAGGTAAATCAATCAACTTCAGTGGAGGCGCTGAAATGAAATTTTGTAAATGAAAATCTAAGAAACAATAGCAAATAACTGAATGAAATAGATAAAATTAGCTGATAATTAATTTTTATAAAGAAAAATATCGATGTTTAAGAACCCGACATAAAATCCTATCTATAGAGGGAGCAGCAGATTTTAGTTTTTCTTGTCTTGGACATGCTTTGAATACATTTTAATGAACTGGCTTCATTGCCTTTACAGACTAAAGATTTCCTTGCACAGCAGTTATTCGCCTAAACAACTTATAGTAGCTGAGTAATGACAAATTGAATTACAGAGCATCCAATGGACATGCAAATTAACTAACACCCAATATCATTTTCTAGAGCAAATACAAGACTTTCTTCATTATCGACCAGAAAAAGAATGTGTAATACTGGCATTCCCTATACATTCCTGGATAATCGTATTTATCAATCTTCAAAACATTTCATTTTACAAAATTCTATGTTGGTTAGATTATCAACCTTTCAGTGTTTCAATGTAAGAACAAGATTAGTTTTAAAATAACCAACTGCATTCCAGAGCACATGTTGGGGACATAAACAAGCTCAAATCCAACATCAACATGCTTTTTTTCCATATGCAAATAAATGATAAACAGTACGATATATATGCTTATTAGAAAAACATTAATACAATTAAAAACTGAATGGAAGAAAGTTTCCCACTCCACTATTAGAAGAGCACTAACCATGAAGTGATCCCAGTGAGCTAAAACAAAAAGAACTTCACATGTGGAAGCTAGAAGTAGGAAAAGTGCATTAAGAAGCTGCCAGATAATTACATACGAGATTAACCAATTCACACAATATGTACAATAAATATTTGATTATGAGATCTTCTTTTATGCAAAGGGATGAAGCATAAAAAAGAATGAAAAAAATACTCGATTAAAAAATACCGGATATGTGATTGTTATACTAAGCTATTCCAATAACAGTTTTTACCACCAATAACACACTCAGTGCACACATTTAAAATCTTCAGAAGTTACACTTTTAAAAGAATTATATTGAAGGATTACATATTAAATTATAAACTATTTATAAGAAAAATTGAAGACTTTTACTCCATACTACAAAGGCCAAATGAACGAACTAACCTGTACTTGTGCGAAGCTTTAGATATATTTCATCTCGGCCCTTTCCTGAAGAACCCTTGCTCAACCTGTCCTGTAAAGAATGTCGCAAAGCACCTAAAGAACAATTGGAATTAGTGTTGACATTTAATACAGGAGTTTAGCTAAATAACCATTAATATCTGAAACATTATCACCTCTTACACTAAAAGTATAGTATAGGTCATATATAACCAAAAGCTTACAAAAGAAAAGGTGGTAAAAGCCATTCTACAACCACGGGCAGATCCACACATTTAAAGTTCTCACACACACAGGAAAAAAAAATGTACAGTATGATTTAAAACACAAGGGCATTTAGTAAAGTTACTAACTTGCAGAAACCTGCTGAGATTTATTATCAATCTGCAGAATAATTGATTTACTACTCAAAGAACCATCCCTCTGCAAATCAATGCTAATTGGAGCTCGTGTAGCGCCATTTTCACCAGTTGGCTGAGTATAGAATAGAAAACAAATTACACATAAGAATAGGGTATTCATGCAATTGTTCTGTAGATCCAAAGAGAGAAGGAAAGAAGGAAAGAGAATACCAAGTAAAATTCAACTTACCAGAACAGGATGCCCAATTAAACTATTCAAGGCTGCAGATTTGCCGGCACCCTGAGAAAGTTTATCAAAGAAATAAAATTATGATAGATATCTTCATAAAATAAGCACATCTACAATAAGAAGAAACAAATAAAGAACTAGGCCAGATGCATTGCATTTTTCCAATCATGGTAAATTTTCAAGCAGCTAGTCATGATTTACGAGCATATGTACTTCAAAATTCTATACTCATCATGCATTCACAGTTTTGAGAAAACTAAGAATAAAAATATCAATAGGGTTGGAATTTCCTGCATCTTAACTTTTGATTGGTGGACAAAAAAACAAACACAGCTTCAAAAGCACAACGTCGAAAAATGAGAACTGCATTCATAAAATGTAAACATAGCAAAAAACTCCATCATAATTGGCAAGAGATAGAGGCTTTTGTCCAGATTTCCGATTTTGAAAAGAAATCCGAACTCAGTGAATTGTGAAGCAGACGATCAATACGAACTGAATACCACAACCAATACAGAATTGTCGGCTGAAAAAAAGCTTAAGTTTTTCGTGAAATTCAACTCCACTGCAAACCATGATTAATAAAAAAATCCAAATTGTACAAGTTTGATCATACTGTAGAGTTTTCACAGCCGACCAAACTCTTGCAACTCTCAGGACAGATCTAAATAAATAATCCATCGCACCGTACTCCAGATATTACTGTCACACTACAAGCAGTAAGTCTTCGTTACAACGGTCAATCCATGAAACACGCCTTCCAAATCGCGCAACAACAATTTTCTAATTAGCAAAAGAATTAATTCAGCTACGTGTCCCATCACGAGGGAGCTTCGTAATTTTCTTCTACTGCAACTAAAAATTCAAAACGTTTTCACATCTTTCCATTTCTAGAATGTTCCAACAAGTTGGGAGACTCAAATAGACACAAAGATCTGCCGCCTAAGACCAACAGTTCAAAAACTTAAATCTAGAAACACGTCTCCAAGACAAAACACACAGAACAAAACCGATCCAACATTCAAAGCCAAGTAAGAAATACAGAAAAAGAAAGAAACGGCTAACTCACAACATTGCCCAACGCAACAACGTTGAGAAAAGTCGTAGCCCTACGAGAAGAACCGCCAGAGGTAGAATTGTCGTCAACATCTTCATCGGCAAGCAAAGCAGCCGCTTGGCGCATCGATTCGGACAACTCACCCAACTCCTCGATCGCGTCCATTGAATCTATAGAAAGCTAGCGAAGATCAACGATCTAAAACTCGGAAAAAGCGAAGTGAAGTAATCGGGAGCAAAGAGATGAGAGTAGAAATTGAAAGTGGAGGAAGACAAAGAGATCGATTAGAGAACAGTTGAAGAGAGATCTAGGAGAAGGTAGAGGTGTCTGTGTGAAAGATTTTTGAAGTTGAAGGAACAAAGAAGCTGTGAAGTTGAATGTTTGAGAAGACGAGGGTTACAAGAACGAAGGAGAAGAGGAAGAAAGTTCCCCTTTCTCTCTCTAAAAGACTCTCTCTCTCTCACCGTCACTGTTCTGTGCGTTTTGAAATGGTAATTGAAACTGATTACTTAGCCTTCTTGCTCTGACGTCATATTTGAATTTTCTTTTTTTTTTAATATTTTTAAATAAAGTTATTGTGTAGTTATTTCGGCGGTGGTTGCTCTCCCACTTTGATTTTTTTTTTTTTTTTTTTTTCCAAAAA